TATGTATATACAAATACATATACAGATACATATATGTATATATATATATATAGTAAGTTAGATTGAATGGGACAAACGATGATATCGTTGTTAAATTGTATAGTAAGTCGTCCTTCAATTGGGTTAGTAGTATTGGGGGATGTTACCGTTGAATTTAGTAATAAGTACTCGCTCAGAGTAGTGAGATCGAAAATAGTACAGTTTAATTGAAATAAAGGAACCGATCACCGATGTCTTGGGTGAGTATTACAAGGCATACGCATTGTAAATTTATCAATAGCGCAAAAGTTGTTCGAACGAGTAATTATGCATTGCATGCAGGATGCACATATGCCATGTGATTTCCTTTCATGATGAGTAGATATATGCTATTTTATAAATGTAGTTATCATTAGAAACACGGTATCTATAGTGTTTTTGAATAATATAAATTATATTAAGAACGTTTGTATCCAAACTACTGTCTCTTCAATATCTGTGGGTTTGTACACGCCATCGGAATTGTCCACCTCTTCACCATGCAACGTTCATCATTCGTATAAATGCACTTCTTTCATACCAATTGTTCATCAATTCTTGGCACCTTTGTTGTCTGCCGGTGAGATGCTTCATCGGGGAGTGTTTAGCATTTATATGTGTATTATTTGTCTTTATCAGTCGATCCTCTCTCTTGAGGTACTTCTGTATACTATCCTCACTCAGCAAAGCTACTAATTATATATATATATATGTATGTATGCATATATGTATATATATGTATATATATATATATATATATGTATATATATATATATATGTATATATACATGTATTTACGTACTTATTTCTGTATGCAAGCATGGATGTCTATATCCTTGTATGCATGCATGCATGTATGTATGTATGTATGTATGTATATATTTATGTATGTATGTATGCATGCTTATGTAGCATATATGTATGTATGTATGTATGTATCCATGCATGCATGTATGCATGTTCGTCTATGTATGTGTATGTATTTGTGTTTGTATATCTGCATGTATGCATGAATGTATATATGTATGTATTTATGTATGTATGCATTTATATATGTATTTATGTATTCATGCCTGCATGTATTTATATACAAATGTATGTATTTATGTACATGGCGGTGCTTAGGACAAAATGTAAAAAACAACATTGTGTATAAGTATATATGTATGTGTGTGTGTGTATGTGTGTGAGCGTATGTATATGTGTCTGTGTCTGTCTATATGCTTGTTATGTATGTATATATGTATGCATGCATATACATGCTTTCATATA